TATGTCATCTTCTAAGGTTGCCAAAGGAGGACAATTTTTCATTTTGATTGTACCAATGGCTATAGTTATGGGAAAATAAAATTTTTGCTGCTAAAACTTTAAAAAAGATCTACTTTTTTATTTCAATAGCCATAGCCACATTTTTGATACTGGCCTCGTGCGCATGCGCCTCGTTCGAAATCTTTGGTCACTCATTTGATCACTTTGTATGCGCATAATGTTGTTTAATTTGCATTTAAGCTGATTCGTTTTTGTTGTTATTGTCGGATATCTGTTTTTTTTTTCTACAGCTGTCAGTTTTGTTCAATGTGGCCATCTGCAAATTATTTATAAAAAAGATTCAAACGAAAAAAAAGATTACTGGCAACTGACCGAGGAAATCTGAAACCCCAGACATCTTTAAACCATTTATTGGATGTAAATCTCATTCATCTATTAAACGCATGCGCATGTTGCATTCTCCGACTACATAAAGGAAGACAAATCTAAATTAAAGTTATACATTGTTGCATCACTTACAACAGCCAAGGAGGTGCAACAAAAAAAATCGAATGACATGGAAACTGAAACGTGATGTCATGAAATATGCAATAACTAAAGAGAGAAGACTGCCAACCACCTAAGCCCTTTTTTAAATAAAAAGCAACAAAACGGAAAACAAAAATTAAAATATTTCATTCGTTTTTATTACCCATGAGGAGACAGGAACACGTACTTGAAGGATTTACATTTTATTTGTTTTTTTTTTTTTTTTTTTTCAACAAATTCGTCCGTATTTACATATTTACGTTGTTTTAATTCGTGTCTACGATTTGCTCTAAAAAGTCATTGCATCGAATTGGACACAGGTCTTGGTAATCCCATTATATGGCCTTCCATCCTTTTGTCTTAATCAATGGCAGCTTGACAGCGAAAATGTTTTTATTTCGTCGCGTTTTTAATACTAGGGGTTCATTTAATATTCCCCGTATATAGGTATCATACATACGTATAAACCTATTCACAGTGCGGTACACAAATACTATAAAATAGGAACTAGAAACCCACTGTAATAATGATCGAGCTAGAGTTTTTAAACGTAACTTGGAATACAATTAAAATCTTACTCTGCGAAAATCTACAGGGATAATATTGTAAAATATCGAAGTTATCCTTACAAAGAGACTGTTCCCACAGTTTACCGAGATGACTCATTTTCTGTTCCAATGATTCTGAATGCAGTCCAAAAATCTCTATCAAATTTCAAAACTCTATCCTGAATATAAGAAATACAGGGTGAGATAAAAAAACTGCAACAAAGTCAAACGCCATAATTTTTAATTATTTTTTTTTTTATTTTTATTGAATGAAAGCAAAAAATGTCGGAAAATCATCAAATTTTAGAATAAGTTTAGAATTGTTCGAATTGGTCACCTTTGGCACGAATCATGGCCTTCATGGCGATATTGACCCATTCTTTCAAAACCCACTCCATAGAGAGTCAAGAGATTGAAAATTCATAACAGAAGTAAAAATATTTTTTAATAATTGAAAATTGGATGAGGGTATATATCTGTCGGCAAAACCAACCGATACTTTTTTACTTGTTTTAAATTTTATTGAATGGAAGCAAAATATGTCCGAAATAGCATTAAATTTTAGAATAAGTTTAGATTTGTTCGAATTGGTCATTTTGTAACCATTCTTGGGTGGCGCGGGCTGAGTGCGATGGTGCTGAGTCCTGTTGGAATGTCCAAGGTCTGTGGCCAAAATATTTGCGAACCCAAGGCTTTAATACACCCTCCAGAATATTTTCGCGATAGAATAAATACCAGCGGAGATCGACCATCGGCTGTTATGGCGGCCCACAACGTCACGCTTGAGTTCTGGCGGCCAACCGAAGGTGCACATTTTGAGCTGACCTCTTTGGCAAGTAAACACGATATTGTTTGTTTACACTGATGGACAACGAATGTTTTCTCATCGGAGAAAACCAAATTCGACAGTTCACCACTTTTGGCCAAGCGAAGCAACTCTTTAGCTCCTTTGAGTCTATTTTCATTCTGTTGCGCTGTAAGTTCTTGCACTTTTTGGAATTTCAATGGCTTTGCCCCTAGCTCATTTTTCAATATTTACCGAATGTAATTTTGCGATATATTCAGCTCATGAGCCATTTTTCGGCCACTGCAACGCGGGTTTCGATCAAGTCGCTTTTTTACTTTTCAAACTATATCTCCTTCTGTTGCTGTTTTCTTCTGTCCACTTCCTTGACGTCGGGCTACGCTACCAGTATCAAACATTTTCGTAAGCGTACAAAAGCATATTGGTGAGAATATTCCAGAAAAAAAGTTATTCGTGATGGAATTCAAGCGTGATAGTGTGATTTCTTTAAATTTGGCTGGAAAACCACAAGTGGCAATCGTTAGAACACTCCAGCATTTAAAAATGTGAATAAATCTTTTCTGTTTCGTATCATCGCTCGTTACCGTGATACTGGTGGCGTAGCCCGACGTCAAGGAAGTGGACGGAAAAAAACAGCAACATCAGCAGATATGGTTCGAAAAGTAAAGAAGCAACTTGATCGAAACCCGCGTCGAAGTGGCCGGAAAATGGCTCGTGAGCTGAACATATCGCAATTTTCCATTCGGCAAATATTGAAAAATGAGCTGGGGGTAAAGCCATTGAAATTTCAAAAAGTGTAAGAACTTACACCGCCACAAAAAGAAAATAGATTCAAAAGAGCTAAAGAGTTGCTTCGCTTGGCCGAAAGTGGTGAACTGCCGAATTTGGTTTGAATTTGGTGAGAAAACGTTCGTTGTCCAGCAGTTTGTAAACAAACAAAAGGGGACCTTCGGTTGGCCACAAGAACTCAAGCGCCGGCCACGGGGATGGTGTGGGCCGCCATAACAGCCGATGGTCGCTCTCCGCTCGTATTAATCGACCGCGGCATTAGAATAAATGCTCTGGTGTGAAGATGGAATATATCGGTCATCTCCTTCTGATACCTTTCCTACAAGGGGTAAAATTTTTGAAAATTCATGAAGCTCATAAAACTCAATTCCATTCAAACTTAGCTAATCTCAATATTTCTATCAACACAAGATCCGTTATAAAGATGGTAGAGATCGGACCATTCATTCTGGTACCTCCCGCACAAAGAGTCAACATTTTGAATAATCAAAACGATTATAAAATCCAAAATGACATTCGGTTCTCTTCATATTTCACACACACACAACTTCTACTAACACAAGATCTGCTGTAAAGATGGGATATATCGGTGTACTCTTTCGGGTACCTCCACCACAAATAGTCCAAATTATAAATATCCATGAAGCACTAAAACACGAAATCACCAATCGATTCCATTCAGACTTGGTACATAACAATGTTTCTATCAACACAAGATCTGTTATAAAGATGGTAGATAATGGACAATTTTTTGTAGTATCTCTATTTCTTTATCATTATTACGGAGTTCATATTAAGGATGTGCAGGACTAATATAACAAATCGGATAAAAAATATATATGAGAGCTATAGTTATATCTGAACCAATTTCCACCCAATTTGACACACTTATTTCTACCATCAATTTTGGTCGAATATGTCAAATTTCATCCCAATTGGAGCAATATTACACATTTTTTGCAAAATAAAATGTAAATCGGACGGAGATACATATGAGAGCTATATCTACATTTTGACCGATTATCTCCAATTTCAAGAGAGTTCGTCTTTGGGCCAATAGAATGATTTGTGCTATAGATGCGACCTATAACAAGGACAGACGGACGGACATGCGGACAGAAGCACACAAGGACGGACGGACATGCATAAATCGACTCAGAATGTGATTCTTTGCGGATCATCAAAAAAAATGGGTCTAACTCGCTTCCTTTTCTATGTTGCAAACCAATGCATAAAGACATAATACCCTGACCACAGTGTGGTGTAGGATATGAAAATGTGAAAGGGGCATGAACTGCTTTAAAGAGGAGGCTATCGGGTGGTTGGCCTCCTTCTCGGATATATTTCGGTATTCGTCGGCTCAGAGATAATCGTGTGGTTTGATCTCGAATCGCACATATTTCCAGAGCCGTCTGTTAGGATATAATCGGGTAAGTTGCTGTCGGCTGTTGGTTAGGAGGTAATGGTGTGGTTTACCCTCTAAATTGTACCAGGTCTAAATGTTATTGCATATTTTTAAGGGTTTTTCGGGCCTAGGTGTAACATAAAAACTTTTTTTTTTTGCTCAGCAGGAAGTTAACAAAAAGTAATGAAATATTTCCTATTCGCTTTTTACATTAATCACACACAACAAAATATTTTTTGAATTAAATATTTCTTTTGCTTTTGCGGTTAATTATGTATTTGTTATTCCAACATCTAATTAGATTTTGTTACTTTGTTACCGCTAATTAACCTGATCTATATTTGCAATGCCAATTGTATTTTGTGGGTTTGAAAAAATAATGAAAAAAACCTCTCTCTATAGCCGTTATATTTCACATTAAAACATTTAAGCTTCTTATTGTTCAACACGATTGATGAACGATTGGTTACATTTAATCATGACCTATGGGGTGAGGATGTATGGTGGCCGTATGCCTCGAATCATGAAACGGCAAATCTTCGCATTGTTCTTAAATGGTCATTGAACTGAAATGGCAAAATAAAGAGTGCGTCACACATTGCAAATTTCAAGTTATTGGAGGCAAATCAAAAATAAATAGATATTAAATCAAAACCCAGATCCGAAAGAATAACAAAACACGACCAAGAAACAATGGTGTTTATCACCTCTCTCCCTCTGTATTTTTCAGTTGCGCTCTACCCATGTCTGTTCATCCACCTTTCGTTATATTCATTTATTCAGTTACATTTTTTAAATCTTTAACATTGAAATATTTTTTTTGTTTTTTTTTTTTTCTTCTTGTCTATTTAATGCGATTTTATTGTCTATTTTTTCGTATTGTGTAATTTCAATTTTTTTTTCTTTTTTTTTGTTCTCATTTTAGTCGCAAAAATTCATTGGTCGTACGCACCCAGTTGAGCGTTCGAGTACATGCGATTATTGGTAAGTAATTACAGTGAACAAAATTAACAATAACAACAACAACTAGTAAAGAAAAGTTAATAGTCGGACGAGGCCGACTTTATGATATCCTACACCACCATGCTTATAAAATAGAGCTATCCGAAATATAAATAACATTTATGAGGATTAGATCATACCAACTATGATCGTTTTTAAAGGCATTTTATGGCTTTAGGGCAGTTTAGAGTAGAACGTATATCTACTACTGTGAATCGGTTTCCGCTAAATTAGACGGACGCAATTGTGACTGAAGCGATTTTCACCTTATTGGATATACTTGCTTCTAGGCTAAAATCGGTTGGATGTAACGAAATACATTCTATCTTGACGAAAATTACATATTTGACGCACAATAAAATTAAAATCGAACGAAGATATACACTGGTGGCCAAAACTAAAGCAACTGAAATAACAAGGAGAATGAATGCACTGTAACTTTTTCAAAAATTAAGAAAATGAGAAAAATTTTCTTGTTTTAAATTAGGTACTTTATTCACTTTTTAAAAACCTAAAACATAAAACCAAAATTCATTTTTATATAAAAAATAATGTTTGGTAAAGTCAATTAACCCGATTTTGGCTTGGACAAAACAAAAGCAACTCTGTTGTACATTCATATAACCGCTGCAATTTCAGTTGTTTTTACTGTGATATTTATCGCTTTTTGCTTCCTTCGACAATTTCGCTTGTCATAAATCCTTTTTGAGAAGTTTTTTACAACATTATGTGTTTTTCTTTGCGTTTTTTAAGTACTGCCCAAAAAATTTTAAAAATGGCTAAAAGCAAATACAGTACCTGAATAAAACAGCAAATTATCAGTGACTATCAAAACAACATATCACAGAAAATAATTTCCGAGAAATATTTCATAAATATTTATGTGATTTCATAATTATTTCTGCATACTAAGTCGGTTTTTTGAAACTGGATCAGTAGTAACAGTCTATAACGGATGAGGGCCGTGAAAAACTTCAGCCCGTACTGATCCACAAATTCTGGGAGAAATAAAAAACAACTGTTTAAGAGTTCAACTGGATTGGTGAGAGAGCAATCATTGGATATAAGCTCCAGATCAGTGCGTAGACGAGTAGTGGCAGCTGGTCTGCATGCCCGTAAGACATCAAAAAACTATTTTTATGTGAAAAAATCAAAAAGGCTTTCGGAAACGATAATATTAAGTGGAATCAAGCTCAATGGAAAAAACATTATTTCTGGGATGAGTCTACGTTTAATACTAAAAGCTCAGACGTGAAAAATTTTACGGTGAGAAGACCAAAAAATGAAGGACTCAAGCCGCAGTGTTGCAAAGGTACAGTGAAGCATGAGGGAGGGTCAAAAATGGCGTGGCGCTGTTTTTCTTTCTATGGACTTGGGCCTATGCATAAAATAAATGAAGTTGTGGATCGGTCTGTTTACATAGATGTATTGGACATCACGTTGTTCACTTACGCTGAGTAAAATATTCGTCTGATTTGGGTGTTTCAGCATGACAATGATCCCAAACTTGTATCAAAACTTGTCAAATATTGATTGAGGGAATCAAAAATTGATGTTTTGTTATGGCCGGAACAATCACCTGACCTAAACTCCTTAGAAAACCTTTGGAGTATCGTAGATAGGAAGATCAAGAGAGATTCGGAAATAAATAAGCACAACATTTTCTAAAAAATTCGGGATGCCTGGGAAAGCACACCCAGGGATCGAATTGAGCGAGTTGTAGATTCAATGCCTCGTAGGTGTGCAGCTGCTATCAAAAATAATGGTTACGCTATCGACTACTAGCCAAAATTTAATTATTTTAAAATAAAAAATCAAAAGTTGCTTTAGTTTTGACCAAGCAAAAATTGTATCATTTTAGTTTTCCACATATTATTTTTCGTTCAAAATTATTTTTATATTTTTATTTTTAGTTTCTTAAAAGTGAATTAAACCCCTCATTTAAAACTGGAAAAATAATTACGATTTGTTTATTTTTGTAAAAGTTACAGGACATTTATTGTCTTTGCGATTTAAGTTGCTTTAGTTTTGGCCACCAGTGTATATGGTAGGTATTTCCCAATCAGAACTGATCTCGATAAAATTTGAGAGAGGTATTTCTCAGCTGTCTCTGATGTCTGGTACCAAATACCATTTTTTTTTTTTTTTTTTTTTGGAGTGCTTATTATGAATATGAGGGACTTTAACACCAAATCGGATGAAACATATATGTGGGAGGTATAGCTAGGTCTGAATAGATTTTCGCCATATTTGAAGAACTTGTTTCTAGACTGAATTCGGTCGGATGTGCCGAATTCCACTCTATCCTTCACTTCACCGCTATGTATGAAAGATTTTTAGACGTAATATTTGTGATTTAGATTTTCAAAATACTGATACAACCAAAAATCGGAAGGTATCAACTGTGAAGGCTATATCTGGAAACTGAAAACCTTCAAAATGACATGCATCAGTAGGTTTAATTGTATATTTTTATACCCTCCTCCTTGGAAAGGAGAAAATATGCAATTTGTCATTCTGTTTGTAAAGCTCTAAATCCCCATAAAGTGTATACGAATTATGGCCTTCGAACCGCCACTGAAATCGTCACACGCTGCCCGAATGTTGCTCTGCGCTATTTTGGCACATTCCCGGCGAAGCGCTTGCTTGAGGTGATCGACACTTTGGTCTTTTTTAGTGCCAACCTTGCTTTCCAAAATACACCAGACACAATAGTCCAACGGATTGGAATCCGGAGATTTTGGTGGCCATTGTGCGCTGGAAATGAAGCGAGGAACCTCCTTTTGTAACCATTCTTGGGTGGCGCGTGATAATTGCGATGCTGCTGAGTCCTATTGGAATGTCCAAGGTATGCGGCCAATATGTTTGCGTGCCCAAGGCTTTAATATACAGTCCAGAATATTTTCGCGATAATATTCGATTAATACGAGCGGAGAGCGGCCATCGGCTGTTATGGCAGCCCACACCATCACCATGGTCGGCGCTTCAGTACTGGTGGCCAACCGAAGGTGCACATTTTCAGCTGACCTCTTTGGCAAGTAAACATGATCATTTTGTTTGTTTACAAAATGCTGGACAACGAACGTTTTCTCATCGGAGAAAACAAAATTCGGAAGTTCACCACTTTCGGCCAAGCGAATCAACTCTTTAGCTCTTTTGAGTCAATTTTCTTTCTATTGCGGTGTAAGTTCTTGCACTTTTTGGAATTTCAATGGATGGAGCTCATTGGTCAATATTTGACGAATGGAATATTGCAATATGTTCAGCTCACGAGCCATTTTTCGGTCATGGTGACGCCGGTTTCTTTACTTTTCAAACCATTTCTGCTGATATTGCTGTTTTCTTCTGTCACACTATCAAGCTTGAATTCCATTACGAATAACTTTTTTTCTGGAAAATTCTCACCAAAATGCTTTTGTACGCTTGTAAACAATATAACGAGCTGTCACTGGAATAATTTTAACAGCTGTCGGACGGGTGGCTTAGAAATGACAGTAGTCTGAAGTTAGTTTCAGGTTTTTCATCTCGCCCTGTAGTGGAGCGAAGTATTCCATTTTCATACTTCATCCAGTACTGATAAAAATATTTTGGAATGGGCAAACATATAAGAGTCGAACATTTATTTTTAATTTTATACGAAATCATAAATTCCATATTCATCTCAGGTTTTTGATTGTAATAAATATTGTTTGGCCAGTTGTGAGAGATACAAGTATTGAAAATTGTGATCCTTTGTGGGGAAGTTGGCAGAAGAGATAGGGCTATCATTTTCACATCATATCTTGTGTTAAGATAAATATTGGGATGTGTGAAATTTGAAGGGAATCGGATGGTCATTCGCATTTTATGAGCGTTTTGTTATTTAACATTTTGGCCCCTTGTGGGGGAGGTACCAGAAGGTGTGGACCAATATATCCCATCTTCACACCATATCTTGTGTTGTTAGATATACCAATTTTGAAAATAATCGGTTGCTCATTTCGAATTTTATGAGCACTTTGTTATTCAAAATGCTGACCCCTTTGAGGGGGAGGTACCAAAAGGAGTGAACAGATATATCCTATTTTCACACCAGATCGATAGTTCAAAATGTATTTTTTCCCAAAACTGAATTTTTTGAGATGTCACACTCTTTGAGTAAATTAACAATATATACTTGGTATATGGTTTCTCACCATAAGTGGAGGGTATAAAATTTGTTGTCATTCCAATCTAACTTTTATTTTTTATGATAACTTATTTAGTGACCAAAACACAGAACCTAATATTTTTACGGTATTTTCAAGGTTAATAGCTATTTTCACCTATCGATGACTAATTGCTTGACGTTGAATGCATTCAACGACCGTTACAAATGAAATCATTTTTTTTTCGTTACGCCTTCGTTAAAGACCTCTGATTTTTGTTGCCTTCTCCCAGAAAATGAAATAAAATTATTAATCACAATCAAAATAAATAAATTAACGTTTGTGTTTATTGAAATAACATCGAAAAAGCATTTGCAACGGTGATATCATAAGAGTGCATGAAAAATATATATACAAAATCAGATAGGTATCTCTCAAAAAAAAAAAAATCTAAACAAATGATTTGATTTGACTTGCATTAAAATATCGGCAAAAAAAAACATTTTCTTTAAAATCTTGTTAACGCCAAAGCTTATGACGACGTCGATGATGATGATGATGATGATCATATTAATTATGATTTCAATGTTTTTTTTCAGAAGGAGAGTCTGTGAGTTGTTTTCGTGTCATGTTTAAATATGAACTGAAAACATGAATTCAAATTCGAATCAAGGTTGTGATGTGGCGGTAGAAACATTTTAGGAAATTGTGTGATGTTAAAATTATCGGCCATAACTAGGGACTACCATAAGCGGTAGCTCATTGCGAATTGAATGAACTGTGCTTTTTATATCCGGCTATACTTTAATAGTGTGAGGTTATTGTAGATTTGTAGGTCCGATGTTGATCCTAGGT